ATTACAAAAAAGATACTTACTATACTTACTATGTGGATTACCCATTTTCTTAAATTGACACACCTGGTGCTTGGCTCTGTATGTTTGTACATTCGAATGGGTGCATGTAGGCCTATGCCTAGAATATGCTTTTATATATAAATTTGTAAGGGTTTAAACGTTTAATTTATGCCAAACTATTTTCTTAATACTTAAAAAGTACTCTCTTGTACGGGGTTCACTAATACTTTTAAGGAGTTTACTAATACGTGTAAACAGTTCACTTATAATGGTAACCAGTTCAGTAATAATTTTAAGGAGTTCAGTAATAATTATAAGGAGTTCGCTAATAGCTGTAAGGATTTTACTGAGGGTTCTGGGTGGCCGAGTTGTCTAAACTGACTCACTCCAAATAATAGTGGTGATCTGTAAGGAGTTCACTAATACTTGTAAGGAGTTCACTTAACCATATATTATATTCCTACCTTCATCCACGCGTTCTGTCATGGCCGTAGAACGTCCATCATTGCTTGCTATTTGTTTGTATCTAAAGAATGAGGAAACAAGGGAAAAGCTACACAATTGATGACACACAGCTACTAGACGTTATAAACAAAGATGAAAACTAAGTTTGTAAGAATACATTAATAGACTTACTTTATCATGTTTGTTCGTAAAATAAACACAATATGTCAATACATAATTATAAATTTAAAAAAAAAACCCACTAAATTAATTAAGTTCACTTTAAAAATACAGCACATTTATATCATCTTGCGATAGATTTATTAAGTTAAGTATTCAGTTGGTCTTTGAAGATAGTTAAATGTATCAGAGTCCGAGCAGTTCTTACCGTGGTTAACGCCAACACACTCCCAGTAGTAGTTACAAAATAGTCGCCTTTTATGATAGTTGAAACTGTTAAAGCTTAACAAATAAACTTTCGTAGAGTTCTATATTTAGACATCTAGAAGCGATGCCTTTTCTCACAATCGCACATTTCTGAGAAATTTGAGCCTGACTTTAAAATCCACCTAACAAAAGGCTTTCCCGTAACGGACAGAGCACCCGTTTGGGGCGGGGCAGTTCCTGTATTGGGATGAAAATAGACTCAGTGGTTCCATCTCTACAACGATCGAGCCTTATCGATCTCCTGTCGTATAGCTTTTACACTTTCAATTCTAACACAAGTTCGATGTTCCTTTTAACAAGTACAATGATATTCCAGCTTTCAATGCATGAGCCGTGAGGTTCGGATAAGTATTCTATTTATTGCGCATTATTTGGAGCAAGTCATGGGTGGGGTACCTTGGATAAAAACACCAGCTTTATTTTGGATTTTCGCCAATGTTGCTTAAGTCATCCATATCATGTTTCGCGGCCTAAAAGAAACATATTTTTTCCCTATAAAATATTGTAGTGATTTCAAGCAAGTCATGGGTAGAGTACATGAATAAAACTCCAAGGTGAATTTCAGAAGAGTAATTCATTCTTAATGTTATTCTTTAACTCAAAACAATATTTACAAAAAAGAAAAGAAAAAAAAACGAGGGAGATAGCGGTTCTCATGTAAACTTAGCCCCCTAAAAATAAACAGTGGCAGATCTAGTCCATCTGAAGATTTGGTGCCGCCTCCCCCCCCCCCCCCCCTAAAAAAACCAACCAAAAAACCTAAACAAAATTTTTTTT